CTGTTGAACTCTACTGTTGACAGAAAAAGACTACTTAGCTACTAACATATAGCATCACTACTAACAGGCTCTGTTGAACTCTACTGTTGACAGAAAAAGACTACTACTTACATATAGCATCACTACTAACAGGCTCTGTTCAGCTCACTGTAACTTACTTCATGAAAGAATGTACAAATCGCTGTAGATTATGAGGGTTGATCTTTGAGCGCAGTGTATCAAGGAATGTATTCACAGTTTTGTTTATTTCATCTTTGCTGCTTGCTTTGTCAAACTGAAATAGAAAAAACATGAAATAAGTTTATGAAAGTTATCAAAATAAAAACTTTTACTGATATTATCATAAACTAATTATAGAATAGTTAATAAACAAAAAAAAAGAATTACTTTTTCTAAAAAAAACTTTTTTAGGTGATTTTTGCATTTTTAAATTTAATAAATCATTTTGAATCCTTTTGCCCGATTGAAATTATATACAAAATAAACTACTTCCTCAGAATATTTTATCTTGTTATCCAAGTAATTCATTGAAATATTTTCATCCAATTTAAATTACGTATGAAACAATATTTAAAGATGTTCAGAATTTTCCTTGGTTAACCATCACATAAAGCACGTTTTTTCACAATCTTATTTTTTTTAACAGAATTAAAATTTTAGGGGAGGTGAAAATAAAACTTCATCTTAAGGATGAGGCAAAACAATTATATTGAAAAAAATGTGTTTAAATACTTAAAATGTGGATACACTGAATGTTTCAGGTCACAAATATAACTCTACCTTTCTTAACACTAGCATATCTTTTTTTTGAAGTCTGAAGTCTAATTTACAAAAAAAATCTTATAAGTTTTGAACTTTTGTTTTTTCTTTAGAGCTAAAAATATTTTATAACAAATCTCTTTTTTTCCATAAATGTGAAAAGAAATTTTGTTAAATTTTGCCAGAAAAAAAGTTTTTCTTCATATATATAAAACCAGAATCAGGATTGAAAAGAAAGGTCCTTTTTTAATCTATAAATAACTAATGTATCCATCCTGTGATTTTGTTGGGTTAAATTAAATTAAAATTAACCAGGTCAAATGATACAAAATATCCTTTCACATGAATGCTTCCCAACATCACCAATCTGGATTATAAAATCTGCTGAAAATTTAAATATTAATAAGGAAGCTCTGGAATGAATCCTTGTGTAGGTTAGTAAAACATTAAAAATTCAAAATCCAATTGTTCCTATCTGGCAGTTCTGGAATGTACGGTACTGTAAGCTTCCTTGAATAAATTCAACAAAATTATCTATTTGGAGAAGGGAAGTAGGCCTTAAAGATAAAATATTAGGGCCAGGTGAGCTAAAAAAAACACCAGGAAGACTTCACTCATGACAGGTAGTATATTAACAAAATCATTCATTTGTAGTTAAAAAGATGTAGCATGTAATGTTAGTTCAAGGAGAGGCTGTTGTATGTTTAACATTCATTGACTTGGTTATACATGTCCTTAGCAATAGGAAAAAGTTCTGAAGTGACCGTATTCATAAAACGCATAGAGTGGACGCAACAACCCAGCAATCAGTCCCCTGATTATACGATTGGATATAAACAGGAGCAGCCATATTATTGTTGACAGGATAAGCAAGGCTTGATGGTATTTAAAAAAAAAATCTATTTCAGGAATTGAAAAATATTAAATATATAAATACAAGTGGTATACACCTTTATATACAGTGTATATGCAAATATATTGATAGATATATCATATTTCGTGCGGTTGACTACAAAGCATGAGAGCGAAATAGTTTTCTCTAATGGTTCGCCCAGTAGGTGGCACACCTGTATTGGCATGACAGGCACGTGCAGCTGGTGAGCTGGCAAGTCAGTTCAAGGCAATGCACTGGTCAGGACGGATGGTGTAATTTTTCATTTGATTTTCTGATACATACTATGTACATTGATACTGATAGTAATTAACCAGTACAATGGAAGTTTTTGTGTAAATGTGAATTTGATAATTAAATGGCATCACTGGTGCAGGCCGGTGTGGTGTGAACAGCCTACGGGTGTTTGTTGTTGCCACCTGGGGGGGTGGGTCATTGGAAAAAATCTAATCCTATTTCTAAAAATATGATCACAAGATTGATAAGCACTTCCTACCATGTACTGACAACCAGTACAATAATGGGGGCATTAAAAATGGCTGTCCTTCACTTTTGACCCAAGATATCAGAACGGATACGTCTATCAGAACGGATATGTCTATCAAACATGTCCCTTTTGATTGATGTTACAAGGTGCAATGTTGAGGAGTGACGGAATTAAAAAACACCTAGCAGTTTCAGGCTCTTTGATGCATTGGCAGTTTGTTAATCAGGCTGGTCCTCTAACAACCCTAATTGCTGTGGTACTGTCAAAGTCCCTAGCAACAGAATCGGTTGCCATGACAATACAGCTAATGATGTAACAATATACCTTCTGACAAAGGCTGAAATGCATGTGGTAGTTCAGCCAATATGACAAAATTACAATGCTCTTATATTTTCATCCTCACACTGAAGATTATGAATCACAGAAAAGGTTGCTATAGTCTAACAACATTTTAGTTCAGATTCTTTTTCTGTGACATATGATGCATTTTAGTCGAAATCATCTTTAAAGATTCAATAAAATAATTTCTTTGTTTTTCTTTTATTACATATATATATATATATATCACTACCTGCGTTTATCATTTATCTTTATTTCATATACTGGTCCAAGTTTCACAAATGTTACCTAACTTATGGAAATTCCTTTATTGAAGTTTCATAAGAAAATTATTGAAGTATTACTGAAGCAAAGGTAAAATCTTAACTCTCAAACAACTCTCCTTAACTCCAGTAATGCTTTCCTATGGAGACATTAAGAACGTAAATGAATAACCGTAAGGATGCTTGATACGTTACTGCCAAATACATCTCCTTGAGAATTTAACACTAAGAACTGGTAAACTGTCTTTAAAATATCATAAATCTGGTAACTCTGACTAAATGCTTAATTAATCAACAACTGAAAAGTATACACAATATGTATACATTGATTATCAACAGGCCTACTAAGTTATTACCGGCTAATTAAAAGAATTTAAAGGGAGATAACTCTACCACAAACTGCAGGTATAATGTATAAGGCACCATGCATATAACCTTCAGTCATATTTATCGTAAGATGGCCTTTTAAAAGAGTCTGACACAAGTTACAGGCACAGTGCAAGTAGTCATTCAAGTGTGATACCGTCAGCATAAAAAAAACATGATCTCCTGACTGTATAACTACCCAGATTACACTCGATATTTAACCCCAAATTTACAATGTATTGACATGGATAGAACGTAGTCAAATTCTCTTATATCTCATAACCTTAGCTTACTAGATCACAGAGTCTCAAAGACACATGAAATGCTGTTTATCTCAAATTCAGTTTAAAAGGACACAAAACTTTATAAATTCTTTAAGCTCACAATCACATTACCATACTATTTTGCATTATTTAAAATCGATGGATATAATCAGATTAAAATGTTCTCTAAAAGATGTTTGCCTTGACATTATCCACTTACAGACTCTGCCAGAAACTGTTTTCATGTGGTGTACACTGGAAGCCGTTCTCTATGGAACTTTAATACTGATAAATCTCTGACTTCTATTATCTACAGAAAACTCCGACTTATGTGATCTAATAACTATGTGCTCTCTAAAATGTTACAGAATATCTAGGATCTATGAAGAAAAGATTTTAAAGGAAAGTGAATACAGTGTATATTTACTTTAATTAGATGAGATAATGTATACAACACTACAATATAATAAATATGCAGTAAAATATTAAACATTCCATAAAAATATTCAGACTCTTTGATATGCCCGAAAAGTTTTCCAAACTCAAAAAAGTGGGAAATTCCTGGATTATGCAGAAAACTCCTTTGAAATCTTCATGGTGCAAAATTTGAATGATGACTCTGCTGTGCATACCGTAACCAAAGTGATTCATTTTCCTGTTTATAACATTTTCGTCATGAGATAGATGATAAATTGTAGTTCACTGCAAAAACATCCTTGTTTGTCGTGCAACAGGTGTAGATTTCATTGGTGTCATAATAAAAGATATTTTTAATAAAAAAGTGCACGAGAGTTTTAACCATATGGTGAAGTGTTGTGCTTATGAATTGAAAATGTGTAAGTAAGAAGATTTTGAAAAGTGCGAAAAGAAAAAAAAATTGATAGAGAAAATGTATCTCAAGTGTGAAGGAAAACAAAGTTTTCCCCCCTACATATGAATGCGTATAATATATCTACATATAAAATTCCAGTCAATATGTTTCATTCTTCAAAATGATATCATATTAGGAACATTACACTTACACTTTCGTATATTAGATTAGTAAATTCAAAACCTGCAAAAATAAGCACATTTGATTGAACAGGGAGTGCAAAATCTTCCCGTCATCCACCTTCTGGTTACGTCAACATTAACAACAATTCAGAAGTGTGTTACACTTCCTGTTAGTACGTCTCTGGTTACAATAAAAAAACAAAGTTTTGGTGAACTTAATCGTCATGGTGTCATACTTACCATAATTTCAGTAATAACTGCCACAGTTTTAGTAAATGAATTAATCTTACTTCAGCCCCACCCCACTCCACCTAGAACTGTTGCCAGAATGGCAGACTTATAACCCACCTGCACACACTGTAAAAGTGTGAATATTTTTAAACAAAACGACATAACTCAATAAAAAGGGGAGGTAAGTCCAACATCTATATTTTATTCCCATCCCTCAATGTGAGCGTTACTTGTACCAATTATCGTTTAAATCTGTGCAGTACTTCGGGAGGAGGAGTGTGAACAATAAAAGTGTGTTACACCATAATAATAAGGGGAGGTAATCCTAATTTATTTAATTTTGTTGACGTACCCTTGATATAAGGATTCTGTGTACCAAGGGCATCAAATGAGTGCGGGGTGGTGGGAACAACGTTTTTACACTAAGGGGCATAACTCCCATTAAAACAGTTGGATCAAGATATTAATTGCAGGTACAAAACTTCATTGTGTTTATTTCAGCAGTGAAGTTTGATAAAATTTGGTTGAAAACTGTAGAAGGAGTTGTCCGGACAAGATTGTGCCTACAGACAGATGGACAGACAACCCAATTCCAGTTATACCCCCAAACTTCGTTGCAGGGGTATAATTAAGGCAGGCATGAAGTAAACCAATAGAACATTACAAGGTGGTTAAATGAAAAGAGAGGGCAAATATTAGATGTTGTGATAACGATAGGACTAATCCCCCATCATGTCAGACAGAGATAAATACCCAAGGTGCCTCAGCATAAATCCCCTATCATGTCAGACAGAGATGAATACCCAAGGTGCCTCAGCATAAATCCCCTCAAGGTGCCTCAGCATAAATCCCCTATCATGTCAGACAGAGATAATTACCCAAGGTGCCTCAGCATAAATCCCCTATCATGTCAGACAGAGATAAATACCCAAGGTGCCTCAGCATAAAACCCCTATCATGTCAGACAGAGATATAAATACCCAAGGAGCCTCAGCATAAATCCCCTATCATGTCAGACAGAGATAAAAATCCCCGAGGCGCCTCAGCATAAATCCCCTATCATGTCAGACAGAGATAAAAATCCCCGAGGCGCCTCAGCATAAATCCCCTATCATGTCAGACAGTGAAAAATACCCAAGGTGCCTCAGCATAAATCCACCATCATGTCAGACAGAGATAAATACCCAATGTGCCTCAGCATAAATCCCCTATCATGTCAGACAGAGATAAATACCCAAGGCGCCTCAGCATAAATCCCCAATCATGTCAAACAGAGATGAATACCCAAGGTGCCTCAGCATAGATCCCCCATCATGTCAGACAGAGATAAATCCCCAAGGTGCCTCAGCATAAATCCCCAATCATGTCAGACAGAGATAAATACCCAAGGTGCCTCAGCATAAATCCCCAATCATGTCAAACAGAGATGAATACCCAAGGTGCCTCAGCATAAATCCCCCATCATGTCAGACAGAGATAAATACCCAAGGTGCCTCAACATAAATCCCCCATCATGTCAGACAGAGATGAATACTCAAGGTGCCTCAGCATAAATCCCCTATCATGTCAGACAAAGATAAATATCCAAGGTGCCTCAGCATAAATCCCCAATTATGTCAGACAGAGATGAATACCCAATGTGCCTCAGCATAAATCCCCCATCATGTCAGACAGAGATGAATACCCAAGGTGCCTCAGCATAAATGAAAAATATTGACAGTTCACTGAGGACACAAAGCCAGACTAACATAATAGGTCACAAGGAAAAGAAGTCATCAGAATCAGAAGCAAATGACCTGAGGTAAACATAGTCTGTCTGCACACAACAAAAAGCAACAGAGATAATTTTCTGAAAGGAGCTCGAGGACTCTTTAACAGTTAATTCTGTGGCCACCGATCCTGTGAAGTTGATAAAATATGGTGGCCATAAATGATGAGGGGAAGTGGTATGGTAGTTATGCAAGAATGTATGGCATATATTATGCATACTAAAGATGTGGTAATTATTACTGAAATATTGATATCTGCCCTATATATGAATGTTTGGTCTTTTTTTGTATGACTTACTTGTATGTTTTTGCATGGTATTATGTTTTTGCACAAATTCTGTGTCTGTAAGTCTGGTTCAGAAAGTTCACACAGTACACTGATTTTTCATAAACTTTTGTTTATGAAAATGACAAATCAGAATAAACTGAAAACAAATGAAAAATCGAACATGCAAAATGAGTTAGTAAATTAGAAAAATAAAACAAAATTCCAAACCAGAAACTCACCAATTCCTGGAAACAGCAGATACCAAGGAAACAGATAATTAATTATGCAGACTAACAAAAGCCAAAGTAACAACAGCAAATAGTGGTTGATTCAAAGATTTCACAGGTCTGTTTCACTTTTGCTTTTGTATAGGTTAATACAGAGTTTCAAGGATATACAAATCTGACATCCACCTCATCAAACAACAATACATAATCATATAGTATGTAGAAGATAAGTTGAAATGTAAGTAAAGAGAAAATGATAGTAGACATAATGATTAGTTATAAATAAATAGAACATGCTCTAAGCTTGAAATATTCTTTACCAACCTTTAAATAGAAAAATTGACAACCTAAAATAACAGTCTTCCAGTGAGATTTTAGAACTAGTCACTCAGTGTCAAATTGCAAGTTGCCTTGGAAAGACTCAGTGAAATCCAACTGAAATTGCATGGCAACTGTTTTCAGGCGCACTGAGTTCTGAACAGTCAAACATTTCTAAATTTGATAACATTTTTAAAGTGTTTTCTAAATTTAAAAACATTTATTTGCTATTTCTTTTATCTTTGAAGACAATATTTTTTGAAGTAGCTGTAAATTACAAAAGCATTTGATATGAAATATTATATCTAAATTAAACTGTTTGGGGTTTCAGGGTATACATGAACAGGTTTAATCAATTGGGGTAATATAGCTTGTGAACTGATCTCTCGATTATTCTCTAAGCAATGTCCATAAAGATGTTCAGCAAAACAATGTAGGCAGGCAAAAACATTGACTCGCTGTCCATTATAGATCTTTACAAGAGGCAGGGACATTTAATGTTATGGGAAAAGAAATAAGAATAGAATATATAATGCACACAAAATAGGTAACATATATTTGAGAATAATTTATGGTAAAAAAATGTCTCCATTAGTTTTGATGAAAAAGCCTGTAAGTCATGTAGCAGTTACATTAATACATTGTATATGGATAGAAATTTTAGATATAATCCTACTTTTGTAGAAATATTATTAAATCACAAATTTTGAAATACACATGTAATACTGGTACCCTATCATGTGCAGGTTGATTTTAAAATTCTTAAAAAATAAATAAAAAAAATGCTGAAATTCTGCAGAAACAAAGAATTTGAAAAAAGTATAAAAATATAAATGTATTAATATTATTTTTATTTACTTAGTTTCATGCAGTGAAGCGATAAACAGAAAGACACTTTAGCCACAATAAACAAGAAACCACAACAGAAGCTGCAACAGGTATAATTATTATATTGGTACAACATCTAGTAACATAAAGCTATACATATATGACCACTGGGTCTAAGTGTGACACTGAGGTCAAACCATAAAAAAGGCAAAGGTCATGACAATAAAAAGTTCACTAGGAGGTCAAAATGAGACAGGGCAGTCTTAGACTGGTTCTGTGTTAAACTGTCACCTTGAGGACACAATATGCTTAATAAACGCAAGTAATAGGTGTGACTACTCACCGATCCAAAGCGGTGAAGGACGAGGTAGGTTTCAGCCGTAGGGTTCATGCCGACATGGTCAAGCTTCCAGGAGATGACCTATAACAAAAAAGTGGCCAATATGGTAGGGAAGTGATTTCAGTTTTTTATCAAAAGTTTTTTGTCTAAATGGTGAACAAGTACTTTCAATTCTATCTAAAGTGGTGTATGAGTGTTTCAGTTTTTACCTTAAGTGGTGAAACAGTATTTTCTATTTTTGTCTAAAACAGTGTACAAGCACTTTCAATTATATCTAAAGTGGTGCAATGAGTGATTTCAGTTTTTACCTTAAGTGGTGACAGCAATTTCTATGTTTCAAACACTGTGTAACAAGTACCCGGTATTTTTAATTCTGTTTTACCTATATTGCTGTATGAACAATTTAAAGTGTTTATCCAAAACTCTGTATAAGTCATCAACATTTTAAAGTAAACATTCAACAAGATAACGAAAAGTGTGACATTATCCCCCGCGCCCTGCTGTTTAAAAGAAAGACACACGACACACAACCATATATATATATATATATATATATATATATTAATATTACAATAACAGGTATTAACTCCATTCCACCACTGTTACTGATATTTTGATGTAGATCATCTTTTACAAAACACTGATGACTTCCCCATCAAAAAAGGCTTGATAAGAACACAAGCTTCATAAGTGTACAAAACATCCTGTATACATCTTGAATACAAACGGCTCCCATAGAGTGCTAGGTTGATAAGTGTACAAGCTAAATTTCAATCTGTTATTTTTAATAGTTTTGAGATCATGCTTCAGAAACCTCAAATTTCGTATTTTTTCCTTTTTCCATGGCAACAGAAAAAGTTAAAAAAAAATCCAAAATGAGAACTCCTCCAGTAGCAAAATGCACCAAGAGAGTGCTAGCTTGTACAAATTGTACAAAGTTTCAGGCAGCTCTTGAACAATTTTGTTGCCATGCTCTGGAAACCGTGAAATTTGTAATTTTGCCTAGCTAGTGTGATAGGATGATAAGTGGACAAAGTTTCAGGTAGTTATCTTGAAAGGTTTTGACATTTTATTCCGGAAGAGCAAAATTTACTGTTTTGCCTATCTGTTTCTATGGTAACCAAAACAAAATGAGAACTCCTCCATAGCAAAAGACACTTCCAGAATGCTTGATAGTTGTACAAAGTTTCAGGTAGTTATCTTGAATGGTTTTGGGGTCATGCTCCATACAACTGAAATTTGTAATTTGGCCTATCGGTTTCCATGGTAACAAAAAGTATTTATATGGAGAACTTCTCCACAGCAAAAGGCACTACTGGAGCACTAGCTTGATAACTGTACAAAGTTTGAGTAGCTATCTTGAACGGTTTCAGAACTCTGGTCCAGAAATGCCCATGCATGGACGCACAGACGGACGGACGTAGCCCAATTTGATATCCCCCGCAAACGCGTTTCACAGGGGATAAAAAAGTACTAGTCCTCATAGCTCTTTAAATCAATCATGCCAGTGCAACTTGCTCACCCCTGAACAATATCAAAACTGGTCTGTTTTCTGGTTTACAAAAATACCATGACAGCACAGTTTACCTGTTCATCTTTTCTTTACAATGATGTCAACCTATACATTTTGCTTTTATCAAAATTTTGAGTTTCTATGTAAACAAGATATAACCTTGTCCTTGATGGACTCCATGAAGCCGGCTGTTGTTCCGGTACAGTGAATCAGACACACTCCAAGGCATCGGTCAGGCTGGGCCATCTGTTAACAAACAATATTTGCATGGTTAAACAGACAATGTCCTTCATAGATAACAAACTTATGAAGATTGCTGTATTTCTCATACAATCATTCTAATATCCCCTTCCTATTTCTAATACCAATCCTCATTCTAATTTTTTCTAATACCTTTCCAAATTGTAATACCACTTCTTATTCTAAAGACCATCCTTATTCCAAGATCACTCCTAGATCTATTACCATTCTAATTCTAATACATGTAACACTTCTTATGCAAATACCACTCCTAATTCTAGTATTGCTCCAAATTCTAATATCACTCCAAATTCTAATATCACTCCTAATTCTAAAAGCAGTCCAAATCCTAACAACATTCATTGTTCTTAAACTACTTGGAATTCTAATACCACTCCTAATTCTATTATTGCTTCAAATTCTAATACCTATCTTTGTTTTAAAACCAATTATAATTCTATTATTGCTTCAAATTCTAAAACCTATCTTTATTTTAATAACAATCCTAATTCTATTATTGCTTCAAATTCTAATACCTATCTTTATTTTAAAACCAATTATAATTCTATTATTGCTTCAAATTCTGATACCTATCTTTATTTTAAAACCAATTATAATTCTATTATCACTCCAAGTTATAATATTACACTAAATTCTAATACCATTTCTCATGTTGTTACAACTCCAAATTCTAATACCATTTCTCATGTTGTTACAACTCCAAATTCTAATACCATTTCTCATGTTGTTACAATTCCAAATTATAATACCATTTCTCACGTGGTTACAACTCCAAATTCTAATACCATTACTCATGTTGTTACAACTCCAAATTATAATACCATTTCTCATGTGGTAACAACTCCAAATTCTAATACCATATTTCATGTTGTTACAACTCCAAATTCTAATACAATTTCTCATGTGGTTACAACTCCAAATTCTAATACTATTTCTCATGTTGTTGCAATTCCAAATTCTAATACCATTTCTCATGTGGTTACAACTCCAAATTCTAATACCATTTCTCATGTGGTTACAACTACAAATTCTAATACCATTTCTCATGTGGTTACAACTCCAAATTCTAATACCATTTCTCATCTTGTTACAACTCCAAATTCTAATACCATTTCTCATGTTGTTACAACTCCAAATTCTAATACCATTTCTCATGTTGTTACAACTCCAAATTCTAATACCATTTCTCATGTTGTTACAACTCCAAATTCTAATACCATTTCTCATGTTGTTACAACTCCAAATTCTAATACCATTTCTCATGTTGTTACAACTCCAAATTCTAATACCATTTCTCATGTTGTTACAACTCCAAATTCTAATACCATTTCTCATGTTGTTACAACTCCAAATTCTAATACCATTTCTCATGTTGTTACAACTCCAAATTCTAATACCATTTCTCATGTTGTTACAACTCCAAATTCTAATACCATTTCTCATGTTGTTACAACTCCAAATTATAATACCATATCTCATGTTGTTACAACTCCAAATTATAATACAATTTCTCATGTGGTTACAACTCCAAATTCTAATACTATTTCTCATGTTGTTGCAATTCCAAATTCTAATACCATTTCTCATGTGGTTACAACTCCAAATTCTAATACCATTTCTCATGTGGTTACAACTCCAAATTCTAATACCATTTCTCATGTTGTTACAACTCCAAATTCTAATACCATTTCTCATGTTGTTACAACTCCAAATTCTAATACCATTTCTCATGTTGTTACAACTCCAAATTCTAATACCATTTCTCATGTTGTTACAACTCCAAATTCTAATACCATTTCTCATGTTGTTACAACTCCAAATTCTAATACCATTTCTCATGTTGTTACAACTCCAAATTCTAATACCATTTCTCATGTTGTTACAACTCCAAATTCTAATACCATTTCTCATGTTGTTACAACTCCAAATTCTAATACCATTTCTCATGTTGTTACAACTCCAAATTCTAATACCATTTCTCATGTTGTTACAACTCCAAATTCTAATACCATTTCTCATGTTGTTACAACTCCAAATTCTAATACCATTTCTCATGTTGTTACAACTCCAAATTCTAATACCATTTCTCATGTGGTTACAATTCCAAATTCTAATACCATTTCTCATGTGGTTACAACTCCAAATTCTAATACCATTTCTCATGTTGTTACAACTCCAAATTCTAATACCATTTCTCATGTTGTTACAACTCCAAATTCTAATACCATTTCTCATGTTGTTACAACTCCAAATTCTAATACCAATCCTTATTCGAAAACCATTTCTAATTGTAGTATTGTTCCAAATTCTAATACCACTCCTAATCCTATGACCACTCCTAATTCTAATACCACTCCTAATCCTACGACCACTCCTAATCCTATTACTACTCCTAATCCTATGACCACTCCTAATTCT